CAGGCCAGCACCTGCAGCTGCTTGTCCTTCCTCTTTCAGGTGAAAGGGGTAGAATCCAATATGGCAGGAGCAGCATCCTTCTAACACGCGTCTCCTTCCTCTACAGAAACTCAAAGCTCACCTTCCTATAGTCTTCGTTTTGAGGACAAGATTTAAATAAGAAACCCCACATCGCTCTCAGCAGGCTTGGGACCGCAATCATTATGCTGAGCAAAGACAGGACACTGCCATTTTCACGGCATTAGTCATCATCTTCTGTTCCCAGTAAGACAATCAGGTGTCATTAGCTAAGGTGTCTGTTCAGAAAAGGATGGTAATTTAAAATTATAGAGGAAAGCAGCAATGTAAATGAATTATTTAGGATACAAAATTAGGCAGCATAGGGTAATTCTCAGCCCAAACATTTTCGTTTTTGTGGACGAGTAGACGAGAAGGAGATGATCACTGTGTATCTGAAGCTGAAGCTTGTGGTATTGTCTGCTTATTCATAGGAAACTGTACTTCTGCATTGACAGGAACTAGGTTTGTGACAGAAATGACTGTAGTTAATCCAACAGAATTTTGCTTTCACAATAAGCTTAAGCACACTTATTTCAGAACTAGAGGCCTGGCCTGCACCCTCTCGCAATCCAGGACCCCTCGGGGAATGTCGGACTGCCGGTTTCAGCCAGATCCCCACAGGCCAGGCCGAAGGATCCCACTGGTGCACGAATCCATTCAGCAGGCCTCTAGTATGCATATAAGAGCTTTGGTTAATCTCTTCCCGCCTTCCCACCTTCCCCCTTCCCTCTGAGATTCATCAGTCTGTTCTGTTTCCATGCCTCTGGTTCTTGTTCATTAGATTCCTTGCTCATTTATTTATTTTTAATATATTTTTTATTGACTTCACAGAGGGAGGGCGAGGGAGAGAAACACCCATGATGAGAGAATCATGGATCAAGCCCACAACCCGGGCATGTGCCTTTGACCGGAATGGAACCTGGGACCTTCCAGTTCGCAGGCCACACTCTATCCACGGAGCCAAACCGGCCAGGGTTCCATTGACTCTTCAGAGCGAGTGGAAGGGATGGGGAGACAGAAACATCGATGTGAGACAGATCCACTGTGGCCTCCCACACGGAATCAAACCCGGGGCCCTTCAGTCCACTGAGCCAAACCGGCTAGGGCTTTTATTTTTTAAAGTTTAAAAAAAATACATGTTTCTATTGATTTCAGAGAGAAAGGGAGAGGGAGAGGAGCAGCCATGATGAGCATCAACTACGCCGTGGGCGGGCTGCCTCCTGCAACCCCGACGCGACCTGGGTCCCGGCTGACCCTCAGCCTGAGCTCA